GAAGACAGTTGCATGGTGTGGTCTGACTGTGTGTGTAAGTGTCAGTGTGTTGGTTATGGTAGGATCTCTGGATTATTTCTTGGCTGTCTTAATTAGATGGACTGTGAATCTTTGGGCCCATCTCCTTACTTCCAGCCTCCAGCTTCCCTCCTCCTCTCCCTAGCTAATTAATGATTTTAAAGCTTTGGTGCCTATCACAGTTTGTTTTTTTCCTTCAAAGTCAGACTTTCCTTTACATACTAGCATGAGGTATTTGGTAAAAAACGATCCAACCTGAGCACATTTTCTTATGAAGAATAATAGGTATTACGATTATTTTTACATGAATACAAAATGTTTCATGCTGAAAAGAGATTATTCCTGCTCAATAAGCATTATTATTAATAATGATGTGATACCCGAAGGACAGAGTAGAATTCTTAGAAGGGAGAAAGTGTTCTGTTTCATGTGTCTTTTGAAAATAATGTTAATTATTTTGATTAAAGTGTTGAAATGTATGAAGAATAAAGTGAAAAATTGTCTGATCATAGCTTCTAGAAGTAACTGCTATTAATATTTTGTTGTGCTTTTTGTGTGTGTATATAATAACTGGGTCCATGTGATATATATATATAGTTTCATACTCACTTTAGCTAGCAAAGTATAAGGTTTCCAGGTATTCAGTGCTATGTGAAAATATTAACTTTCCCATTTATTGCATATAAAGTTATCAATCAAATGCTTCTATACCCACATGTGTATTCTCATCTATTGTTTGCTTTATATAGTAAATAAAGTTATGATGAAATATCTGTGTTTAGTTCTTTTAAAGGTTTTTAAAAAAATCAATCAATATGCATTTGTATGTATGATGTGTGTGGGCATGGTGTGTGTGGGCATGGTGTGTGTGGGCACGGTGTGTGTGGGCACGGTGTGTGTGGGCATGGTGTGTGTGGGCACGATGTGTGTGGGCATGATGTGTGTGGGCACAGTGTGTGTGGGCACGGTGTGTGTGGGCACGGTGTGTGTGGGCACGGTGTGTGTGGGCACAGTGTGTGTGGGCATGGTGTGTGTGGGCATGGTGTGTGTGGGCATGATGTGTGTGGGCATGGTGTGTGTGGGCATGGTGTGTGTGGGCATGTGTGGAGGTAAGAGGACTATTCTGAGTAGTCAGTTCTCTCCTTCTATCTTCACATGGATTCGGGGGATGGAACTCAGGTTGCCAGCCTTGCCAGATAAACACCTTCCATCACTGGCTGAACCATTATGCCAGCTCCATGTTACCTGTTTATTTATTTATCTAACTAAGTGTTGATTTCTTTTATCAGTATTTTGCTGTGTCAAACATACAATTTTTGCATATACTTAGATCATATAAGCAAATTTATGATTAAATCTCATCTTCGTTGCTGTTGCAAATGATGTTGCTTTTTAAAATGTAGATTCTAATGTTCCTTGCAAGCCTAGAGAATTTAGTCTGCACATAGCAAAACTAGTTGTTCTATATTCCGATCCTATGGAACGCATCTCATGTCTTGTTTCTTCCAGTTTTCGATAGAATGCACACATGAGTGAATGGATGTTCTGCTAACTAAGGAACTGGCTGCTGTGAAATAAGTTTGTGAAAAACAGAGGGAAACAAAGGTATAGAGACTTCTCTTTCAAAGAACTTCTCAAAGGCTTTTCTATCTGAATGTGTGCTGTGAGCTACCAACAATGAAATCGGTTACTCTATATACAGGGGTCATAGAGCTATCATTTTGTGTAACTTCAGTTTGGAAAGCATAAATGTGATTCTACTTTCTGATTCAGAATGGACATTCTTTATCAGTGGCACTTCAGGATTGTTACTAAGGCTAACACAAAGATCTGTTATGACAACAAGCACATCTGGAAGTCTCTATCCTTTGCTCATATTGCAGTATGTGTAAGTGGTTCTTTGCCAAACTCTACTGAGAGCAGAGATTGTCCTCCTCTACCCTCTCTCCCTCCTTCCCTCTTTCTTTCTTAAAGAAATGCAGTGGCCTGAATGAGGTTGAATGTGAAGATAACTTAATGACCCTTAATATTTGTTTCTATGTTCAATTGGTGAAGGCCACTTAAACTCTTAAGACTGAGAATATTGAAAAAAACTATATTGGATGATTAATAACAGGCTTTACTCTGTATTTTTTTAAAAATGGATTTTCAATTTTCTTGCACATCTATTTAGAAAGTTATTGCAATGGTAAAAATGTATTATTTTAATGGAATGATCTTACTTAATAAATATTCCAAAACAAAACTCTCTTTAGTCAGCAAATATCCTCTGCTGAGATAAAACTAGTTACCTCCAAGTTTCTCTGACTAGATTTGTCATTATTTTAACCTAGGGTTTCTATATTTGTATTTGTGAATGAGACTGATATGAATTTTCCTATTCAATGGCCTTTGTTAGTTGTTACTATTACAGTTTTGCTATGGAAAGTTTTATAAAATTTTTAAATGAAATATTTTGTGTTGAGTCAAGTACAGAAATGTACACACTGGATCCTAGGCACACATTACCTAGTTTTTTTTTTTAAGTTGCTTCTTTTGTTTTTTGAGATTATAATATACTTACATCGTTTCTACTTTCTCGTTCCTTCTCCCAAACCCTCCCATATTTGCTTCCTTCCTCTTTTTCAACTCATGGCCTCTTTTTCACATTGCATTGTTAGGATCTTGCCCTCACTCCTGTACATGCACAGCTCGGGGTCTTGTGTCTTACATCATCAGGGGACGCTGGCAACTACATAGGCGCCTTAAAATGCCGGATGCAGACCACACACTCTCTGCTCTGCTCCCCTCTTCCCCCACCCCACCATCTTTCTCTCTCACCAGGCCTGGTCCCCTCTCTTTCCCCCTTTTCCTCCTAATAAAGCTCTGAATACTGATACTGGGTTCTATCATGACAGTGACCTTTCCACACTGCCACAAGCGCTGCCACCAGCGCCGACTATCACCCTTTCATGCATGCACATATGTATACACACACACACACACACACACACACACACACACACACACACACACACACATTTATATTCCTAAATACAAACTGCTCAGTCTGTATAATGTTACAGGCTGACCATTTGGGACTGGATAACCAACTGGTGTGCTCTATCATTTCTGTCACTACCAACAACTTTTACAACCACAGCCACAGTATTCTCCCCTCCTCTGCCTCCCTAGTTCTTGCCAAAGGCATCTGTTCTATGTTTCCATAACTTTTTCATTTCAAGAGTATCTTACCTGTTTTACTTCTAAAGAGATAAATAAAGGATGTGGATTTGGGTGGGTGCGTAGGATCTGGGAGGAGTTGGAGTAGGACAAACCATGATCAGAATGTATTGTGTGAAAAAAAAAAACAAACTTATTTTCAATAAAAATAAAGTTATATAAAAAGGGATATCCTACAATTAATGTGATACAGTACTGCTGTATCATCAGGGCCAAGACTCTTATCATACAATCTGTAATGCCTTTCACTGGTCTGGTGATTTTCTGTGTTCTATGGCTTCTTTTAGATGATACCAATACAACCCCTCCTCTTTCTTGTTGATTAGCATTGAGCGGTCCATCTTTTCTACCCTTTTATTTTCAATTGTGTCTCTATATTTTATATTTGAAATATCATATTGAATATATACATATATGAATGTAGTTGTATTGTACATTTAAGCCACTGCCAACAGTTTTCTTTTTTTTTGTTTATTTAAATTTTTCTAGTAATGGCCATTTTGTTTACATATTTAGTGTACTTATTGCTGTGTGGGGGCTTCCATTGATCCTTTTTAATTTGCTTTCCTTTCTCTGCTTTCTTTTCCCTGTCTGCCTGTGGATTATATCAACATATTTTAAAAATTCATTTAAAATTACTTGTATTCTTGGTGTGGGTGTACTAGGGATTAAACTTGGGGTTCCTTGGCTTATTGAATGCTGGGCAAGCAACCACTTTGCTACTGAGCTGTATCCCATAGCACAATATAGAATATGTTTTGGTAGTTGCTACAATAGCTTATTACATTATATAACTGTTAATTGGTGTCATTTTTTTATTAAGTTAAATACAGAAATCTTACCTCTACATCATTTTACTCTCTATACTTTACAATACTCGATTAAAATGTTTCCTTGCGAATGTTTATACTCCTATCAGACAGTATTGTGTTTCTTTAAGCACCATTTAGAAAACTCCCAGAAGGAAGCTATACAACACGTACCCTTATTTTTGCATGTTCTTATGTTGTTTCAAGGAGCTTATTTTCTTTCTGTTTAGAGAATTTCCTGATTAATGACTTCAGAATAGGTCGCTGGACAATTCTCTTGACTGTCTTTGTTTGAGAATGGCTTGTGCTCTTCTTTATTTCTGAAGGATATGTTCTCCGGGTAGAACATTCTTAGTTGGCAGTTCTACTTTTTTATTTTCACAGTTTGAAAGATGTGACACTTTCCTTTGGCCCAAGGGTTTTGATAAGGAATTCACTGTCATTCAAACAGATTTTCCTTCCCAGGAAGCTGTTGTATCCATTTCACTAGTTTTTTTTTTCCTTTGTCTTTGATTTCATAAGTTTGGCTATAATGGGTCTTATGATTTCTTGTTGGTTATCCAGTTTGGGCTTTGCTGGATTCTTAGATCCATAGGCTTCTTTCTATTGCAAACTTTGGGAACATTTTCCATATTATTTCTTTGCATTTGTCAGTTGCTTTAGGTATAACTCTGAGATGTAGGAAGAATAAAGCACAGGGAACTCACTGTCATGTTAAGTATGGTTCAGTCTATCTTCTGCTCTCTTACTTGTGGAGTTTTCTCATGTTTGACATATAATTTCCAGTGTTATTAGAAGTTATTAATGAGGGAATTAGGGAGCTTTCTACTTTGTCTTCCCTAAAGCTATATATTCTTACTATATCTCTTAGCTATCTATAGCATATAGAATTACCTGTTCCATAATGTGTTGAAATAATTTTCTAATGAAATTAGCTAGCTGATTTTTGATGTATTGTATGAAAAGAGAGAAGGTTCATATTCCCATAGAGGAGGATGGAAGGGCCCTTGGGTCTAATGGGATGCATATGGTTAAGGTAGTATGATCTACTTTGTGATAGCTAACCACTGTTTTTTAGGCTGTGTGGTAGTGGATACCTTTAATACCAGCACTTAGGAGACAGAGGCAGGTGAATCTTTAGAGTCAAGTTTAAAGGCTGTCTAGTTTACGTGGAAAGTTCCATGCCAGCCCAGGGCTACATAGTGAGACCCCAACTTTAAGAAAAAAGAAATTACCTGTCGGTTAAAAATAAACAGATAAAAAAGCCAAAAAGATTTATTTCTTAAAACACAAAGGCCTTATAATAACAGCTATTTCAATTGGGGTTCTGAGAAAGTTAAAATTAGCAAGGAGGAAAAACAAAAGGTCATATCAGGTGGAAGAACAGTAAGGGTCGTCATCATACCATGAGAATCTTATAGCTCAAGAGAAGACAAAGTGAGATTGCAGGTTTCCAAATCATTTCACAAAATCAACCAATTTAAGGACCAAAACAGAAGAGCACCGCCTCCCCCACCACACACTCCAGCACTATATTGGTGGAGCCAGTCTTCATCTGTTTCTGTAGGTGTCAAATGGTTCTCAAAATCTTGTTGAAAACTGATAAGGAACCAAAGAGGAATCTTCTTGTCCATTGCACTCTCTAGTATACAAAGCAGAAGTTAGAAAGTAAATTTTCTTTTGTTCTTTTGAATATCTTGTCCACATATAATACACATAGATGCTTCTAAGTACTTATAAGATTTTTTTGGTGTTAAAAATTATTTCTCAAGCATTTCTCTAGATTGATATTTTTGCTTAAAATTTCCTGGGACATAGTGAACTATTTAAGAAATACATGGATTTATGACTTTTTTTTTCCAAATTTGGAACGTTTTCTTTACTTCTATCTTTACTTACTACTTCAGTTCCTTTGGGAATTGATAAAATTTTGTGACCAATTTGTATTTTTAGATTCTTTGTGTTTTTCAAGACAGGGTATCTCTGTGTAACAGCCCTGGTTGTCCTAGAACTCACTTTATAGACTAAGGTGGCCTTGAATTCATAGAGGTCTGCCTACCTTTGCCTCCCAAGTGTTGGCATTAAAAGCTGTGCCATCATGCCTGGCTGCTTTTTGATTTTTATACCTACCATAATTATCATTTTACACACATTGCTCTGGACTAGGTCCTAGAGGCCCACCTGTTAAAGACTTGGTCAGAAACTTGTAAGAAGTATGGCCCACTAGAAGGGTTTAGGTAATTGGAGGTTGTGGTAGTTTGAATGTAATTGCCCCTATAAACTCACAGAGAGTGGCACATGTGGCCTTGTTGGAGGAAGTATGTCACTGTGAGGCAGGCTTTGAGGTATCTTATCCTCAAGTTATGCCTATTTTGGACACAGACTCTTTTTGCTGTCTGCAGATCAAGATGTAGAACTCTCAGCTCCTTCTCCAGCACCATATCTGCTTTCACACCTCCATGAAGATAATGGACTAACCTCTGAAACTTTAAGCTACCCCCAATTAACTGTTTTCCTTTATAAGAGTTACAATGGTCATGGTCTCTCTCCACAGCAATACAAACCCTAAGACAGAGGTGTTCTCTTGCTGGGGGTTGTGGGACATTTGTCATTTTCTCTTTTCACTTCTTGTTCACCATAAGGTAAAGAGACTTCATCTTTCAGGTGTACCAACTGAGATGTACTGTTTCCAGAAGCAATGGCACCAGTTCATAATAGATGCAAACTCCCAAAACTGTGAGCCACAATAAACCTATTTTCTTTACAAAGTAATCTATCAGAGTTATTTTTTGTAGTTATAGAAAGCTGATTAACACACATACACACACAAAGAGAAAACAATAGTACTCATGGGCATGTATTTATAGATACATACAAATATGTAATAAGTACACATTTAGGTAGAAGCACACATATATGTGCAGAGTAGTTTCTGTGGCTTGTGTGTATACCTCTATGTGTGAGAAAAGAGAAGAAGATAATATTGTTTTACCAACTTCTTAGGAATTTCCATAAAAATTTAGGAGACAATCTCTCATGTATGGTAGCTAATTGCCATTCTTCTTGTAGTTGTTTTTGCTTTAAACCTGCAGCAGATAAAAACCTATGCAGAAGAGTTTCGGAATCTGTTTAGTGATGTTTAGAATATTCTAGAGCAAGAGAAGAAACAGAGTGTGACTTCAATGTCTGCTGAATTGAATGCTCATCTCACTTTGTTCCAAAGACCAAAATGCCCTCATGGGGCTGAGTTTGGTCTCTTTCTGGAATTCACTAAACCAGTACAGTCTGGTAGCATTTTACTGTATTAAAAAAACCAAACCAAACCAAACAAAATGCAAATGTATCTAAAAGAACAATTTCCATAAATCCTTTTAGTAACTCCTTTGGCAAGGAAGTCTTTTGAGAGTCCAACTCAACCTGAACAGACTTTTTTAGAAGCCCATTTCCTGTTTTTCTCTCCAGGAAACACAGAGAAGAGTGTTCTTGAAAAAGTTCCAAGCTCCTTGCTGGAGATCAGCTTCCTTGGTTAATTCTGAATCTCTCATGCATCAGATATATCTGTACATCAAAATGTTTGCACATAGACCTTTCAAATACAGTCTCCATTAACATGGCCCTTCTCATAGACAGTTCTTAGGTAAATCCTTTTTACACATAAGTGTTTATCATTCCCTGTAATGGCTTTTGTGTTCAGTACTTGATGTGTATCCCACTCCCCTCATATTATTTGTTTAGGAGTGGTGTAGTGTCCTGATGGAGAATATGGGCCACGGAGTCAAAGGCCTAGGCAAAGCCTCACTCCTTCCCTTGTTTTCTGGGTGGCCTTGGGCAAAAAGGTGACACATGTGTGCTTCAAATTTCCTATTTGAAAGAAAATGAAAAATCCCTTCACTGAAAGGGCTAATGTACATTAAAGTACATAAGAGGACACCTAAAATATTTTGTGCTTTATGCACATTTGCTATTACCATTTTAAATATAATCATCAGTATATGAAGTCTGTCCTTTAAGCTGATGTCATGCCACCTGCAGCAAAGAATTCAATTCTTGATAAATACCATCTGAGGAAAAAAAATCGAGAACTTCCCAAATTATACATATTTTCTTCATTGAAAGAAGCCAACTATTTCATTATTTTTAAATGTTGACCAGGATTTTGGAACTTAGTTTATTTCTAAGCATGCTGTATAGGTGCTACACTGGGTGGCAACATGTTGCTAGTCATCAGGTAAGATGACTAAGGTCATGTGAGAATTTAACCCTTGCTGCAGTGGGAGCTTAATCTTTGCTAATGAATTACATTCCCATGGGTATTTAGGTTTTTGTTTGTTCATTTGTTTTGTTTCATTTTGTTTTTCCAGTAAATGACTTCTGACTCTATTATTATCCCCTCCAGTGCCCATTGATTCAGAGAAAATGACAAGTGGAATTTACTGTTTTGATTTTGAACTAAATCTTGCGTCTGTTTTCATTGTAATTCAAGGCACTGCTTAATCCTTTGCTTAGAAGCTATTGGAGTGAAAACGTTCATGTTGCAGATTTACTTTTTGACAATGGTGCACGGGAAGATAATTTTGCAAGAACAAGAAAACATGATACTCACTGGAAGAAATTGAAATAAGGAACACCCTGTCCGGTGTGCTAACAAAGTGGGGATTCCTTTCCCAAGCTTTGTACTGTGCAAAGGATACTTTTCTGGTGTGCTGAGAAGTTGTCTCTGGGACCGTCACACTTGGAATTCCAGCAGATTACCCTATCATCAAGTCATCAGTATGCTGCTATTTGAATAAACACAGCTGTTGTTTTCCAAGAAATATGGCTAGGAGCAGCAAGGAAAAAAGGGCAATTAGTGTTATTGAAATGGAGGGGTACTCAGGATGGCATATATATATTTATGAGAGTTTTCGTTTCTGAATAGCTATTTGCCATGCTGTGACTGAGCAGTGGGGGGGTGGGAGGTGGAAGAGGGTGGTGGTAATAAGCCTTTCTCCAAATCCTTGCTACTTCACTGCATTCTGTGATCTAATATTAATTATGAATAATTTTCATAATTAAATACATATTTTAATTCATGTGACCTGTTACCTTCCTCTAAAAAGAAACCTTAAAATTTTTATGACATCTAATTTTAAAAACTATACTGATGATTTTCACTAGTTTTCTAGTTGTTGGAGTATGTGAAAAGCAAAGATATAATGTCACAGAATCAGGGACAATGCTTACTTTCTGGGGGTGGGGGTGGGGAGATGGACAGGCAAACTTTCCTCTTGGTTTAATGAACAGCACATCAGAAAGGTCAGGTTATAGAGCAGTTGTGTGGCCAAAGGTAAAAGATTCTTCTGCATCTCCCATACTTCGTATGTGATGTGGATGTTGAATGATGTGGCCTTTAAAGACCCTGTAGGTTCCATGCTTCTTTTAAGACAGAATTTTATAGTTAAGCTCTGGTAGTCAATGCTAATCAATATACTTATTAGAGATCTATGAGAACCTGTGGCTGTAGTTTCTATAGTCCAGCCACTGTGCTTTCAGTATAAATGAAGACAAAAATAGGGATGAATAATTAAGATTATTTTGGGTGCTTCATTTACCTAGAACACTTTGTTTTGATTTTGCAGTCTTGTCTTTAGTGTAGTATTCATAGTTAAACACTGTGGTTTAAGAATGTTTGCTTGGCAGGTAGCAGGGTAAAGAATTGGTAGATTAGAGAACAACTTTCAAAATTCTAGTATTTCTAGAAGAAGATTTCCAGGAAAAGATGAAGTTAGGCAAAGCCTTTTGTATCTAGGGGCATTGTTGAGGTTTAGTTTAAAAACATCTCACTGAAGTCCAAAAGACTCACCAGGCTCCCACTTGCTTGGTGTCTTGAGTTGATTCCTAATTTAAAAGTGAGTCCTTATGTTTAGTCCAATGAACTTAAATAGTTTAAAGACATAATAGAAAACAATAATTAAGGTCAAGGATATTAGAGATGCATGCCTCTCCCCCACATCCCCAGGGAGATGTTCTAAATAGATGTGAATGAAAGGTCTTAACTGTGGTAGTTTGAATGTAATTGGCCCCCCATAAGCTCATA